AGGATTCCAAACTCGACCATTTCGTCGAATTATTTCCTTCACCCTCCCCAAGCTTTGAGTATTACCGAAGTCAGGGTAACAGACCCACAGCTCTGTAGATTACTGTATCTCCTCTTCAGTGGAGATAATACATGCACTGTGCTTGCACTGAAATCGGGCTCCTGCCTGATTTCCCATACCTGTTATTTCAGAAAACTGGCGTGGAGATTATTCTTTCCCTCTGTTTTGAATGCCTATCCAGCTTTTAGTGTTTTGTTTCCATCTTGGCTTATAGTAAGCCTTTTATTCCCTGGAAAACATAGCCATCAAAGTGAAAGGAAAATTTAAAAAATGTTATATAGTTGAGGTGAGAGAGCAAAGAAAATTGTTAGCTGTTTTCATGCACTTTCCTGAGGTTTACCTCAGCTTGACATTTGGCAAAGCTTGTTTTATCTCATGCTTGTTGCCATTTAAGACAAAACTTATTTTTGCTATTGATTTTTTTCATTCCTTGTGGCCTTTGTTCATTCTTAGTGTCCTTTTTGATGCAGTCCCTCTGAAGCCCCTTCCTCCTGCTGTTTTTATTTTGCTTGGTATCCTGGTTACTAGTGTTTCAGCAGGTGGAATTCCAAGAAGTCCAAGTTTCATTCATAGGCAAGCCCCTGGTTTTATCAGGCCAGCTGACTTAGAGATGCCTCTCTCAGGAGTTTTGTAGGGACAAACTAACCTACCTCACCTGGCCAGCAGCGTATGTTAATTTGACATGGTGCCGGTGAGGTCGTTGGCCTCTGAGCTGCTGCTGGCTCACGTCCTGTTGGGTCACTCTGGGTAGGGTGAGCAGGTGTTTGTCGGTAGACTCAGCCTTTGTTTACTCCCAAGTTCACTTTTCTGAAATCGATAACCTCCATTAGACACCTACTTTTGTGTGCTCTTCCCTCTCGTTTTAAACTGAATCGACTCATGTTCAAGCTGCAGCCCAAAGTTTTTGTCTTTGGCCAGTGCTTTCTGATGTTCCCATTCCTTTCGCTTGATTTTCCACCTCAGACTCTCCTCTGTTGTGTCATAGAAGTTCCTGTTGATCCTTGCTGGATGCACCCCGTTCTCTAAAGCAGCATGTCTTTTATTGCCTTTATCATGTACAATTAGCTACTAGTTCATAAACTTATATGGCCTCTTTCTCCTTGCTTTCCTCCTTCTGCCCTTGGATACTTTTGCTTCTCATTTACCCTATGCTCCTCATTTTGTGCTAAAGAGAGAGCCACGGAGAGGTTTGAGACTCCACCTCGATCTTCTGTGCATGTAGGACTGTTCTTTTGAGCGTTTTCTGCATAAACCAGAGCGAGTTCTAGCTCAGCAGCTGGAGGAGGAGCAGAGGAGAAAGATACCTATGAGGCTTCTTTGTTGCATACGTTTTCCAAGGAATTGCTATTTCTTTGAAATGGTTTTGTGTGGATAATGATTTCTGTTTTGGTAATATTTATGACATTCAAAGAGTTCTGTGTGTGTGTGTGTGCCCCTGTGTGAGTCCCTGTGCCACTGTAAATCAGCAAACATCATGTAAACACCATTCTGTGGGTATCTGCTACTGCTTACCTGAAGTGTGTTGTTGCAGATCATACAGAAAACAATGAAATTACTCAGTCAAGCAATGACCACTGGCCAGACATCGAGATCTTCAGCAAAATGTCTTTTGACCTGAGTGTACATGACCCCAAATACAGAACTATAAGTCCCGTATACACAGAACAACTGTCAAGAGTGAAACAAGGTAAGTGAAATGTAGAGTGTTTAAGGAATACTTTCCTACAAAGAATTCGGTTTTTATTGGTTTGGTTGAACACATGAGTTCACAGGAGCCTTTAACCTCCAAAATTATAAGGATTAATACAATTTGTGTGTTCCTGGGATCACCGTCTCTGCTTTAACACTCATAAAATTTCTGTTTTCTTTGTGCACAGAAACAAGCAAAGAAGCGAAATCAGAGGAACCCAAGAAAAGGGAGACTGTCTCCATGATGTTGACTAAATACGCAGCTTACAACACGTTCCATCACTGTGAGCAGTGCCACCAGTACATGGACATTAATCCTGCCGCCCAGGTTGGTGTCGAAGTCCAAGGGTAAACTGCATCCTTGATTCTTCTGTGCTCTCCCAAGGCGTCCTGGTCTGGTCTCAGGACTCAAGCTTTCCCCTTCCCTGAGATGGAATTGTTTAATTCTTCCATTCCCAGGGGAGATATTGAACTACAGACCCTGGAGCATCAGCTGTGTCTGCTGCGTTCTGCGTGAGCAGTTCTCTCCAGCTGCCTCTGACAAGGGCTGAATGTTGTCACTAGCTGTCTCAAGGCAAAGCATTATTCACCCACCCAGAGGGTTCGTGATATCTCATGGGAGATGCTTAAAATTGAGAGAGGAGCTTGTCTTACCTCAATGTAAACCATCCCCATCTCTGACAGGAGACTGGAAGGCCTACTTTTTCCTCCTACATGTAGCTGTGCACACTTCTCAGCAGTAGCTTACGAGTCACTGGGCAAAAATAATCTTTTTTAACTGTTTCGTAATCCTTTTGATCTCCCAAAGAAAGAGCTATGCTCAGAAGAGGCAGGCAGGTAAGATTATTCCTGGTTAATAGCTCAGACATTATTTCTTAACCACCACCAGCAATCACAGAATGGTTTGGGTTGGAAGGGACCTTAAAGACCATCCAGTTCCAACCCCCCTGCCATGGGCAGGGACACCTTCCACTAGACCAGGTTGCTCAAAGCCTCATCCAGCCTGGCCTTGAACACTTCCAGGGATGGGGCATCCACAGCTTCTCTGGGCAATTTACCTGGAGGCTTCTTCTCTCAAATCATTCTTTCCTTGCTTGCTAATCTTACCCAACACCTTGCTGCTAACCTAACGCTGCGTCAACATGCTGACCTGGAAATGTACAATGCCAGTTCCTTCAGAGCAGCACCGGCAGGTCCGATTTAAACCTCATGCTTCGTTAAGTGTGTGGATACAGGGAAATCTTCCCAAGGGATATCTGTCGTTCCGTCCACTCATCTTTGTGCACGCGGTCAAATGTAACAGCGAGTAATAAATACAAACTCCTGCTTGTGAGTACAGAATTGTGATAATTGAACTCAGAGAAATTCCACATCCGAAGCGAGAGTCATTGGATAGCAAGCATTATGAAGGGAGAGGGAGTATTAAATGCTGTAACAGAACCTAAATAAACCCCCTTTCATTTTTCACCTTTACTTGGGCTACTTATTTAAATTCTTTATTAGTCAAGATTATAGAAAGCTGATTGCTAAACAATTTGACGTTGCAGTAAGACAGGTGCTTCTGTAGGATGAAATCCCATCAGCTGCGTAGGCTCTTGGCATACACTCACATGCACCAATGAAACGCTGTACAGCCTCAGGATTCCCCAAATTCTTCGTGGCCTTGTTAGTGGTGCAGCCTGCCCTCGTTACCTACATGCTCAGCAGAGTATTGCCACAGGAAGGACACCATCCTAATGTGGCCATGCCGCTGCTGGGGTCTCCAGATGGCAGTGCGTGCTGCTGTGGAGACGTACCCACACCCTACGCTGCTCTGAATCTTATTTGGACAGTTTGTTTCCTGGTGTGTATATCTATTTTTCACCTCTCCTTGTCAATATCGATAAATAATTTCCAGCTCAAATGGACTTGAAAAGAGCTCAGTTTGCCCAGAGATCTTTACTGGTACAGAAAGCTGAATTTTAATAGCAAAGCCAGTTAACATACTGTTCCGTTAAGAGTAGTAATGTGGCAGGAGATAAACCCCCTTGCTTTCCAGCTTATCCTCAGATATCAGAGGGGCTGGGGGCTGCTAGGTTTAAATCCTGAAAAATGCCCAATTTGACAAAATGAGCCTGGTCTCTCGGATTCACTCAGCAGTGTGCTGTATTACCATCCAGCCACTATCTATGGGCTGACACAGTGCCTGGCGAGAAACAGTGCAGCTGGATATGTGAAACAGTGCAATTTATTTAAAGTGACAGTACAGGTTCTTTGTGGATTGCCGGTGATGAATACACTGTCTGCAAGGTGTGTATACACAGATGTTAAGATTAAAAATTACCAAAGCACTAACTTAAAAGCAACTCTATAGAGATTTCTAAGTCCTGAAAGAGCTCTCAAAGAGGTTCAAATCTTACCCAAAGGCATCCCTATAGGGGGCAAGAAAGGCTCAGCCCGTCAACTGATCCCAGGAGTCAGAGGTCCTGACTCGTCCATGATGGTGTCTTCCCTGACTTGTCCACGATGGTGTCTTCCCTAACATCCCCCTTTTCTTAAGCTACTTTTATATGGTTTTTTACCTTCAGGGTGGAGCTTGAGTGGCCGTAGTCATACACACCTTTGTTAGGATCAGTGTAAAGTCTTCTTGCTTCGGTTTAAAGGTATAAGTTACCTAAAATTCAGAGTGCACGCTCAGTGAGGAGTGGCCTCACCTTGGAGGCGGGTGGCCTTTGGGATGGAGGTGTGTTTTGGTATTATAATGACATTATAATGAGCAAAGTTCGCACAAGGATGGCAGTTCGTCAAAAGATAGCAGACTGTTGGCTCAGGGTAGCAAAAGTACAGCTTGTCAGTGTTCGAAGTATCAGTAAGTTCCCACCTCTGCACCATTTTCACAGAGCCTGACCACGGAGTCTCCACTCCGTGCCACCCTCCGTGTGCTTTCCCAGGTTGTGGGTTATGTTGCTTAGGGGCCCGCTGTGGAAGGGATTCCACGCGTATCAGCTGCACACCACGCTGGAGGCCTCCTCAGTAACTTTCCTTAATGTGCGAACAATGCTGTATATTTAATATGAGTTTAAATTTCGAATTACCTCCAGTGATTATCCTACATATACCTAAATAATGTGGCTTATGGTAGAGGAAAATGAAAATACAAGTAGAGTTAACTTCATCCAAAACATCCTCTTTCAGTAACTGTTCTTCTCCGGTGCCTTCTGGTATTGTGCCTGCGAGAGCAGGTTGCCACGAACCCCTTGGGGGTTACCTGCTTGCATATCTTTCTTCCACTTGTTTCGTTGTCTACAGGTATCTGACTCCACTCTGCACGCGTTCACGTTTTCGTCATCGATGCTAGGAGAAGAGGTCCAACTGCATTTCATAATCCCCAAGTCCAAAGAGAACCATTTCGTCTTCAGCAAGCAGGGAAAACATCTAGAAAGCATGCGTCTCCCACTGGTGTCTGACAAGGTGCGTGGGCTGCTTTTACCCATCCGCTGACGGCGTGTGCCGAGTGCGGTCCGTTTGATGCACTTTGGCAATCGGTGGTGGTTGGCTGAGGGGTTTTTTTCTGTTTTCTTTTTGTTTTAAAGTCTTTTGCGTAGTTCTTGCCCGACAGTCCTTAGAACTGAAGTCTTTGAGGAGACTCATCCCTAGTGTACAGCACACGTGTTGCAGTGATCCATTATGTTAAAATCCAGTATAAACAAATAGAAATCCTTGTCGGCAATAATCTGCTTTTTACCTAACATTGGCAAAATATCTCCCATTCCAGCAGAATTTGAATGCTGTCAAGAGTCCTATCTTCACTCCATCAAGTGGACGTCATGAGCATGGCCTCTTGAACCTCTACCATGCCATGGAGGGCATCAGCCACCTTCACCTCCTTGTAGTCAAGGAGTATGAAATGCCGCTCTACCGTAAATATTGGCCCAACCACATCATGCTTGTCCTGCCGGGCATGTTCAACAACGCTGGCATTGGTAAGAAACACCATCCCCGCATTGCTGCGAAGACAGGAAAATCCATGTTGGAAAACGTGGATCATGTTGAAGGAAACAATTGCAGCAGCTCCTCACACCTGTGCTGTGATAACAGCAACAATATCTGTGCAAAATACAAGGGTGTGCAAGAACTGCTGTAGGGGATGTGGGATACACGTTTGTATTGATCACTGCCTTCTCAGTTTAAAATCTGATGTTTTCTAGGCCATATTCACTCATTTTGCTCAGCCCTGCCATGTCAGTGTTCCTTCTAGACATTTTACACGTGATTTTTGAATTTGCAACATTTTTTGGTTAGCTGAAGCTAAGTGTTAACAGCAGCTGAACACTGCAGGGGTTAAACTTTGGACTTCATGTTCACGGATGCTGCCTTTTTCCTGCAAGAAGGTTTACATAGCTTCAGTTTTAGAATCCCAGCCCTTTCTTGGTTCAAGTTACTTTATTAATACCCACAAAATCGAGTTCTGCAGAGCCTCTTAAAAGGTCCAGCCGTCTTGGTATCTGCTGCTTAGATTTGCTCATGCTGAAAAAGTGACATACCGGTTTCTTCAAACAAAGATGGCATGAGCACTAATTTCGCAAAGTGTAGTGACTGCAGATGTCACGTGGCCTTTCTCTGGGAAGAGAGAGCGATAAAATCCAATAAAGATCTCTATCTTCTTTATGGCATTTTCTCAGGTGCTGCCAGGTTTCTTATTAAGGAACTTTCCTACCACAATCTAGAACTGGAACGAAACCGCTTGGAGGAACTGGGAGTCAAGCGCCAGTGCGTGTGGCCGTTCATCGTGGTCATGGATGACTCCTGCGTCTTGTGGAACATGCACAGCGTCAACGAACAGTCGAGGTAAGGAATGGCCCGGCACTGGGGTCCCTGCACTGATCCAGCACAGAGAGTAGCACACCTGCGACGTAAGCTCAGCTGTCAGGGTATGGAAGACCAGACAGCTGGAGAAGTCGGGCAGCTGGAGCTGCTGGTAACATACTCAACATACTGCTAAGCAAAAGCAGCCTTCAGCAGTGGCTTTATGTAGTAATGCCAGGCTGCCTGTCCCAAGGGCCTCTCAGGGTCATTATTCACTCAGTTATTACGCAGGTAGCACAGGAACTGTACATAGAATCACAGAATGGTTTGGCTTGGAAGGGACCTTACAGACCACCTAGTTCCAACCCCCCTGCCATGGGCAGGGACACCTTCCACTAGACCAGGTTGCTCAAAGCCTCATCCAGCCTGGCCTTGAACACTTCCAGGGATGGGGCATCCACAGCTTCTCTGGGCAAACTGTTCCAGTGCCTAATGTACCCTTGGACATTAGCTAAATTATCTTGCACTCAGAGCAGTAGGAAGGCTGCAGATTTGTCTTGTTGACCACCAATATCCAACCTCCTGCTGTTGAACACTCCCACCTGGCTCTGTCCTTACACCCATGTCCCGCAGTCAGTACCACCACCAAGCCTCCGCTTGTGCTGGGTCTTTGCCTGACACCACTCTTGCTTTTAGTGACTGTTTGAGTAATTTGTCAATATGTTGCTTCCCTGATTTGTTTTGATTCAATTTATGTTTCTCAGTGAAAACAGTTTATTTTGGGAGCTTTAGCTTTTTAGAAGGCGTTAAGCTGTTGCTCTTCTCAGTGCTTGTGCTGTCCATTACAGAGAAAACAGCCTTCTAGAACTGGTGCGTAGGGCGGTTTCTTTTCCCTTTCTAAATTGCTGTGTAAGACCTTATTCTGCTGAAAGGCCCATTTTCTTATCATGACTAAATTGATGGGATAAGATTAGTTGGCTGCTGCTTAAGAAGTCTGTGTTTACGTCTGTATTTTTTACAGCATCTAAACACTCTCAATTGTAAATGGAATTTCTCAGTCCTTCATATACACAGGTATTTACATGTGTATCTTTCTATTTCTGCAGTGTGTGTTATATGAAAATAATAACCCAGGTTTGTTTGTTGTGTATGATCACGTTTTGCAGCCAATCCCTGGAGCCTGGGGGTTCCAGCAAGAACGTGTCTCTGAAAAGCGTCCTCCAGCACATTGAAGCCACCCCCAAAATTGTCCATTACGCGATACTGGGCGTTCAGAAATGGAACAGCAAGCTGAATGCCAGGAAAGCAAAGGCTCCGTTCTCCAGGTGCCACGTGCATGATTTTATACTGCTCAACATAGACCTGACCCAGAATGTGCAATATGACCTAAACAGGTAGGCAACGTGTACGTCTGCGGCAAAATAATACGCTGGCATGGTAAGAAACTTGTCCCTGCGTTTCTAAATGCTGTTGAGATATGTGGAAAGATCCTATCTGAGGTGAGGAGCGCCCAGTCACAAAAATAAACACGGCAGTGTGCGTTGCATCCGAACGCGTCACTGTCAGCCAAAAGAACTGGGGGAGACAGAGTGCAGGGGAGGGCAAGGGCGGGCTACAGAGGACACAAAAGGCCCGGGGGGGAAGAAGAAGCTTCAGGAGAAATAAGTAACCGCAAGACCCAAAACAGAAGAGAGAAACCAAAATCAGGTCAGTCACAGGGAGAGTGTGGAGGTTCCAGAGTGCCTCTGTCAGACTGAGAACAAGGGTGGGTAATGGCTGAGCCGCTGCCATGTCCGACGCTATGAGGAGGGAGGAGGGGTTCCTCTATGTCCTTCGGAGTCAGCTATCCCTCCCTGTTGCCACTTGGGCTTGTGGTAAAAACAGATGAATGAGTAAGTTTCCCCTATTTCCTTCCTTCCCCCCACCTATCTCCATCCTGAAGCATTTGCAAGGAGGCACTGCTGTCATGGGGCTTTACCTCTAGTTTTCCTCACAGACGGAAGCAATATCCAGTTCCTCTCCTCCCTGCCCAAGCGAGTTCCGAATCATCCCTGTCTCTGCTAGCCACAGTCTGGCCCTGAGGCCCTCACCCTGGTTTCCAGCTGCTGTTTTCATGGATCCCGTGTGTTTGAGGGAGGAATTGTAGCCTGTCAGTGCAAGCCTGGGTCTGGTGTGGCTTCTGGAGCTCTTGATTTCACATCCTCTGGCTGGTTGAGTCACGAGCTGGGAATCAGCCCACAGAAGTGAGCAATTACACTGGAAATAGCGCCAGATAAATGTGACTTCTCAGCTGCTTTGTCTCCCCGAGACGGTTGTCAGAGCCACATTTATCCCCTGATTCCAGTTCTTCACAAAATACGTCATGTCGAATGGGCTTGTTCAGAAGTGGGGGTTGGTCTGATCTAAAATACACGTCAAAGAACTAAAAAGAAGGGAGAAAAGGGTGGGGAAAAAGTGACTGATGGCAGTACATGACGAGGACGAGAGGGCTAACCAGGCCTAGTGAGAAAACATACAAGCGCACTGAAGAGCAAAGACCTGTTTGGTCTGAAGACGACCCTACGCCGGCACCACGCCGAAGGCCTGGGTCTTCAGAGCAGCATAGGGGATTTGCGCGGGAACCCTATCAGGTGGTCTCCAAAAAACCTCTGCCGAGCCTGCTGGGGTTGCGTATGGGCTCACACGCAACACTCTTTGTGTTTCACGGCCAGGTATTTCTGTGAAGATGTAGATTTCAACCTGCGGACGAACAGCAGCGGCCTGCTCGTCTGCCGCTTCAACAACTTCAGTGTCATGAAGAAACATATTCAGGTTGGAGGACAGAAGGACTTTGTCGTTAAGCCAAAAATCATGGTGAGCGGGGATGTACGTGCCGTCGTACGTAAAGGGTAAAAGCAGGGTCTGTCCCCCCTAGAAACCCAGTCTCTAGCCCCTCAGATTTATTTAGTGCTTATTCGATACTCATGGCCTACCCTGTGGTAGAGCTGCCACGCCCGACACAGAAAATCGTCTTTTGTTAATTATAAACAATTAACAATAATCCTCCTAACCTATTAGAAGGTGGACTGGGATTGGAAGGAGTTTGGTCCAGCTGTTCACTGGTTCCTCTGATGGAGGAGGAATGTGCCGATGTGCCCTGAAATCACAAGCAGGCAGGTTGTACGGGACCCCGTTTCAGTCATTTCACTGCAGCCGCTGGTTTCCGGTGTTTGCTGGGCTGTGACTTTCAGCCCTGGCTCTTGCTGACAAAGACAGACCTGAGGAAAGGCGCTGGAAACTGGGGCCTTCTGAAATTCACCCGGAGATTCCAAATAAATATAAAACCGTGGTGGGGCTACCGGGGGTTTCGTGCAGAGCGTGTTACGCCTGTGGCAGCCTTCAGTGGAGGCGTATTGCAAAGGGCCGGGTTTTATGTCGGGATCTTACCGTTGGTGTGCCTGGGGGGTTTTAAATGCATCCCACACCATCCCTCTTGTAAAAACTCACCCCCCTATTTCAGTTTTAAATTACTAAACCCCGGATTTGAGTATTTTGGGAGGTCATTTTCTGAATATTCCTTTTCTTGTGGTTGCAGTGGAGTCTGTGGTGATGGACTGGCCTAGGAGAGAACTCCATGGAAAACATTCTCTGTGGATGACTCCACAGGAGGATATCATTTCCCATACTGTCTGGGAGTAAGGCGGGATGAAGGGTGTTGTCACAGTTTGAACTCTGTTTCATGTCCCTTCTTTAGGCGAGCGGATACGCACAGGAGTACTTGGCAACCACAGAACAAGTAACTCATTTCCGTGCTGTGGTGCTATGCCAAAATGGAGTGGGGATTTTTGATTCTTTGCCCCTTGCCCCATCATGGTGATCCCTTCTCGAGCTGGAGGGACTCCTGCAGAGCAGATGCACTGAGTAGGTGGGTTAAAAGGGGATCTTCTTGGTTTCATTGCAGGTTTCGGACAGCCTGGCACCAATAATGCCTCTTCAGTATGTCTGTGCCCCCGACAGTGAGCACACATTGTTGGCAGCCCCGTCTCAGTTCCTCCTGGAGAAATTCCTTCAACACGCCACGTACAAGCTCTTCCCGAAGGCCATTCATAACTTCAAGAACCCGGTGCTGGCCATTGACTGCTACCTGAACATCGGGCTGGAGGTACAGAATACCTGCAGGGATGACGGGGACCATTACATGCAGACCTTTATGTCAGCATCGTGCTTGTGTTGAAAGACCCTTCTTTGATGAGCCTTCGGCGTCGAGGGTAGGGTTTGAAGAGTGGTCACAAACAGTGAGACTCTGCTGCCAGAGTCGGATCGGAGCAGAGGGACCAGCTCGGATGGAGGAGTTGGCAGTAAGGCCTAGCTGGCTGGAGTGGTAGGACCAGAGGCCTGTGACAGAGTGATGTGATTTGCCAAGGAATTGGGCACATCTGTCTGAAACAATATTTCCTATGGAGCAAATCCCAAAAGCGAGGCCATTCGTGACAGAACTTGGTGGACGGCTTAGCTGCCTGTACAAAAACTATCCACGTAGTTTTTTTAGGTCGCTGTCACAGCCACGTAGCCTTTTATCACCCGTGTTCGATTTGTCCTTGCAAGCCTTTCGTGGTGGCTTTGCTTCGCTGACGGACAAAGCCCGTCCTTTGTGGGGCAGCTCTCCTTTTAAACGCTTTTCTTCGTATGCACCTGGGGTTCTGGGGAAACCAGGTTTTTGTCTGGGATGTATGTGGGTAGGGAGATGTATGTGGGATGTATGTGGGAAACTTTGAACCCCTTAGTCAGTTTGAACTGGGCATGAAGCAGGGTGAAAGTCTAACGAGGGGTTTGTTCTGACTAATTTTATGGAGGTCAGTGGCAAGAGAGCAGGAACCCTTTGGTAGAGAACAGCCATCAGCGCAGTGAAACGTGGGAGGGCCCCATGCTGGGAACCGCTCAGCTGATGCTTGCGGTCAGTGGGAGAAGACGCAGGCCAGCGCGGAGGAGCTCAGGCTGTGGCAGTGTCGGTACTCGGGGAACCGCTCGCTGCCTTTGACAGACGCCCCCTTACTAGAACCACCGGAGTGATCTTAACGGCCGCTGTGAGCGGGTAATTCACAGGGAAGCAGAAAATCCCACAGAGTTACGGAGCGCCCTGAAATAATGTGTTGCAGACTTGGTGACCAAACCTGAATCCAGACGTTTGTCCCCTTCTGTTATTTCCTCAGGGAAGTTTGCTCGGTGCCGCCCTCTCCTTGGGTTGGATTTTCACCAGCGCCAGCCGATTTGCCCGTTACCGTTAGCTCTTGCCCCGGCTCAAACCGGCACGCCGAGTTACATTCCATTCCACATCCGGTCTCGCTTAGGCATTTCCTAGCCCTGAGGTGTTTCCTTTTCCCTTCTCTTCCAGGCGGCTGTATGCTACATCAGTTCCCGCCCGCACTCGGTCAACGTCAGCTGCGAGGGCGTGTTCTTCAGCGGGCTTCTGCTCTACCTCTGCGACTCCTTCGTTGGCGCAGACCTCCTCAAGCGGTTCCGGTTTCTGAAAGGTAATCTCGCGGCTCTGCCGGGCATCCCAGGTGCTTTCCTGCCAAGCAGCGGCAGGGGTAAGACGGGAAAGGTAGAAGGATAACCGGCTTCGTTCGACAGTTCCGTTTTTTTCACAGTTAGCGCTGCCGTTGTTTTTGAAAGAAATAGAGGATGGGTTTCTTTGGGAAGCATAGAAAACTTCCATTCCTGTGGGTAGTAAGTGCAGGTAGTTGAACCGTAGGGAAGCTTTGCTCAATTAGGTTCATTCAAATAAAGTGACATCAGATGGAAACGCGTGCAGAAGGACATGGATGCGTGGAAATCAGTTGGTGAATGGGGCCGTCGGCAACTCGGGAATTCAGGGCATAGCTGTTGCTGATGAGGAGGAGGAATTCTGCCCTACTAATCTGTCTGTAGTGGCAGTAAATATGCAATACTGTAGGTCAGGCAGCCCTTTGCCAGAGGATGGTGGGGTCTATCCCCACTCTACCGCCACCAGAACTGCGTAACTCGTCAAAATCCCGGAGTTTGCTCCAGCGTCCACTTGGGCGAGTGCAGTGGGGATGGCGCCGCCATCGCATCGCTTGTTGTTTCATGGGCGAGGGGCAGTCTCTTCACGGAACAGTGGTGGGTGCCTGGCGAGAAGGGTTCCCCCCACTCAGGTCAGGCAGAGGAGGGACCTGAACTTGCCACGTGCCTGGTGTGTGGGCTGGAGCAAGGAAGAGGGAAAGCCCTGAAGGTGCCCAGCTCTGCGGCTCATCCCGTGACTATGCGGTGGGGTAGCACCGGGCAGAAGGCAGCTTGCAGGTTTCTTAAGCCAGAGGAATTAGGGATGTGGTTCGTTACTCTTCTTGCAGCGCTTTACCAGGGGAACTCTCATAGTAAGGGAGGCGTAGCAGATTGTCTCCAGAGTCAGCGCTGGGACTGGTTTGGCTGAGTGGAATTTCATCACTGGCCTTGTGCAAACCCAAACGTCCCCTGAAACCAGAAAGAAGGGGGCTTTCTTCTTTTGGCATCAGCAGTGATTTAAGGATCTTGGATTCAAGTGAATCTTCTCTCTGCTACGGGAGATGGTGCCAACACCAGTCAGGCAGGGACGTCCTGCGAGACAGAGCGGGCCTCGCGCTGTGCTTGCGTCTCCCTGTCCGTGCCTTCCGTCCCGGGTCTCACCGCTTGCTGACAGTCCCTTCTGATGCTTCTTTCTGCCCAGATGGCAGCAAAGATTTCTTTCGGTTATCTTAGGAAGTGAGTGAGGGGAGTAGAGCTGTTGCTGTACCCTGAGAATCTACTGTGCTTTTCAATTGAAGGTGCCACCCTGTGTGTCATATGTCAAGACAGAAGCTCGCTCCGGCAGACGATAGTCCGGTTGGAGTTGGAGGATGAGTGGCAGTTCCGACTTCGGGATGAGTTTCAAACTGCAAACAGCAGCAACGACAAACCACTCTATTTCCTCACGGGACGCCATATATAAGCTTCGCTGAGACACCGCTACCAAGGAAAGAACTTGGATTTTTTTTTTTAAAAACAAAAAAAAAGGTACAATCACTGTGGAGCAAAGTGCAACCAATATTTATCTAGACTGCGCAGAAGGATTCCCCATTCTGAAGTAGCTCGATTCCGAGGGATAAAAATCACCACCTCGGTTACAGTTTGAAGGATCCTGGATCGGAGTGATTTTTCACCATCCTTCGCGACCGCCGCCAACCAGGACGGCACGGCCGACCGGGCTGTAGGATCTCGGGTGCCGCTGGGTTGGAGAACTCTTCTGCTGGGCTGAGCTGGCAGAAGAAGCTGCTCACCCAGCAGCTGCCGGCTTGAATGTGTCAGGTGGAGCTCGTCGAAGCCACGTGGAGGAGAGCCCGCTGTCTCCCTCCGGCTCTGTACTCGGGTACAGGAATACTCAGGGCTTTGAAACTACAACGTAACGTAGGTTATTTGTGTTAACTAGTCGTGTTCTCTGTGCAGTGTTAGTTTGAAGCGTGGAATTGCGTACGGGTGGAGACCGGCTTTTCCACGGGTGTTCGAAGTTTACTCCTTACGGCTGAACAAAGGGGCAGAGGCACGGCAGGCAGGGTGCTCTCTCCCCCACTCTCACCCCACCCGCCACCTCCTCCCCTGACTCCTCGCAGATGCTCCCTCCCCTGTCCGAGGCCAGAACCACCCGCCAGCAACTCGCCTCCGCCTTTCTCCTCGGCAGAGCCGCGGAAACCCCTCGGCCGTCCTCCCTTGCCTGCGGAAGCGGGTTCTGCCCTACAGCCCATGCCTTTGGGACTCTCCCCGAGTCCCGCGCCACCCCAGCTGGCTGTGGGGCCAGGATGGGGGCTGCCAAGCCTCGCTCACCTGGGAATGACCCTGCCGAGCAACGGGCGGGAAGGGACACGGAGACCCGCCAGCTGCCCCGCCGGATCCCAGGGGGACAGGTGGCGTTTCACAGCGGCTCCTTGGGGGGAGCTGGGGCTGCTCGGGAGAGACTCTCTCCAGCAGCACCCACCTTGGGACGCCCTCGCTTAACACTGTCAGCCCTTTGCTTGGCTTAACCCCTCGTACGCCCCGGCTGCAGTCGCGCGTCGTCCCGCTTTCCAGTGTGTGGCTGATCCTGGTGGTTCTGGAGCGAACGGGGTGCAGTAGCTTTGGGATCAGGTTTAAATCATGGCGGTACCCTGTTCCACGGGTGGCACAGCTCAGCCCGCTGAGGTTTCTGTGCCGGCAGGAACACAATCCTCTTCCCGCACACGGAGAGCCCTTCATCGCAGAGGGAACGGCGGCGCGTTCTCCTGCAGGAATGTCAGTCTCCTCCCTCGGCAGCAGCGAGAGGAACGGGCCTTGATCCTTGACCTGCCACGCCTTGGAGAAGGGCCTGCCAAAGCTGCAGCTTTGGGTTTTTTTGTTTTTTAAACGCATAGTGTTAATTAAGCAACTTTTTTCCTTTTTTTTTTTTAATACCTTGTGAAAAAGAGATGTTTACAGATGAAAAAAAGCCGTAATATATTCGAGGGAAGCTGAAGGGAAGTGGTTGTGCATGTGTCTGTGTTAACGCAGCTTCGCTCCGACGCTGTAAAATTTAGCGGATTTCACACGAACGCCCCATTTCTGTAAATCTGATTTTTCGTTTTCCTTCCGACACAACCTGCCTTAGTTACCACTTGGAAGAAAGCGGGGGCACAACCGAGGCTCCTCGAAGCTCCTGATACGCGCCTGAATGTGCCCCAGCAGCCCCCGTCTCGCCAGGGCACCC